GTCAAATTTAAATGATTTAATTTGAACATGGTTAGGTACAGTAATTTGGCAGCACATGTGGGAGGGAGCCCAGCTTCCCCCCTTTTTTTTGTTTTACATAAATTGTAAGAGTTTGTTTTATACATTGATGCATATTTTACAAACAAACAAAAACTGTTCAACAAGTTGTCCAAAATAGAACAAAAAAAGTTGTCCAAAATAGAACAAAAAATTCTTATTGATAACAGTTTAAGATTTTAATCATTTGATAAAACCTTTAGAAGGCAGAAACAGAAACCCCAAAGCAACTGCCCATGAACAGAAAGTCCTGAGCACCCTAGGGATGAGAAAGGGTTAACTAAGTGTCTGTCAGCACTAAATAGAGTTGTTAGGCTGTTATCAGGGCTACAAGGTCATTAAAAATTGTTATGTTGCTACAGAGGCTGAGCTACAAGGTCACCACAGGCTATAAATTTCCTTCAACACCTCTTATAATCCACATTAGCATTTTTAAAGCCCAGTTGCTTCAACAACACCTGGGCCACATCTACAGTCTGTAGGTACCTTTGCAAAGATTTTTGCAACCTATCTATAAGTGTGCATCACAGTTGGTAGAAATTTGTGCCCTAACTTCCTGGGGAAAAATCTACAACCTGACATTCATCACTCTGCCTATCTGCCTCTATCAGCCTTTGCCCCCGCCCCCCCCAGGAATGGTGTCACAAACTGACAAAAGGGTGAGTCCCCTCAGAGGGTCAGGAATCTGTCTGGCCATGTTCCTTGAGGGCTTTGTGTAGTTCCTTGGCAATAAACAATCGGATATAGAACCTCCACCAGATTGAACGCGTAGAGAGGGACTGGACCTGCCATTTAGCCTTCATGGAACTACCACAGAAATGTTATTTCAAGTCACAAGGTCTGGGACTCAAACCACAGTTTACCACGTAGGACTTTAGCACCTTAACCACCACACCATCTTCTAGCCCACATGGTGTATTTATTACCTAACCGTCTCCACAGGAGTCTACCTACAGGCTAACTAGGTTCTCTGCTTAGAGTCTCACAAAGATGTGATTTCTTTTTTTATGGAGCTGAGATTCCTCACCCAAGTTCATACAGTTATTGATACAGTTCAGTAGCTTGCGGCTGTGGAACTGAGGTCACTGCGTTCTTGTTGGCTGTCAGCCAGGACTACTCTAAACTGCTAGAGGCCTCTGCATTTTCTTGTCCTGAGTCACTCTCTTATACCCTGTCAAGACAGAAGGTTCTCGTGAGAAGGCGTGAGAGAGTGACTCACGTAGATGGTTCTCCAAAGGCAACCAGTGTTCTCCCTTTCCAGGAAATACCTATTCCCCCTTTTCAGGACTTGAACCTGATTTAGTCAAGCCCACCTGATAAACTGTCTTTAACTCAGAATCATTCTTTAAGGACCCTTCTTTTATCCTCATAATCCACCAATCTTGTCATATAATTCAATTAACCATTGTGGTATTCTCAGTTGAGAAGGAATTATGCAGTTCAATTATACCAGGAAGCTGGAATCTTGGGGCTGTTTCAGAAAGTCTGCCTACACAATTCTTATCAAAATGAGCAATAATTCCTTTTTTTTTTTTTTTAATTTCCAGAGGCTGTGTGAGCTCGACAGGAAGACAGAGAGACAGGGAAAGGGAAAAAGCACCCCTCAGTGAGGCATGGTCATGCTGCAATCTCTCCCATCCATTTCTCCACCCTGTTGGGATTTTGAGCACTAACAGTTTTTCAAGCTTTCAGAGTTAAGATTTGAACCATGATAATCCACAGGGGATCCTTGTCTCTTAGCCACAAGACTACAAGGCCAGCTTCACACTGTCTACGATACCATCAGCATTAAAATGTCTTTTTCCCCCTTTTCACCTGGTTTCTTAAGATCTTTTTTTTTTTTGAAGAGGTTTTTGCTATAGGGTGTGTGTGCTTGCCAGTCAGACAGCAGAGAGAGACAGAAAGTGAGAAATCACCCCCCAGGGAGGATAACCATGCCACAATCCCTTCTCCTCCATTCTCCTCTCAGGATCTTGGGCAAGCACGTATACACACCCAGCATGAGTTTAAGCCATTGGGTCCGGGACTCGAACCATGATCGACTATATGGGAGTCCAGTGACATAGCCATTACGCCAACTGCTGGCTCCTTCACCTGGTTTCTTAAAATCAGAATCAGAGCAAAGATTACAATTATGGGGCAGTCCATGGCATGACGATTAAGATGGCTGGATCCCACATGGCTGACTGTGTGACTTGAGTCTCAGACCTGGTGACTTGGAAAACACTCTGGGCAAGTATGCATGCATTCCCAAAATCCTGAAAGGAGACATGGAGGAGAAGAGATTGTGGCATAGCCATGCCTCATGGTGTGTGTGTGGGGGTATGCTTTCTCACTTTCCTTCTCTTGCCTTCTGTCTCTCTCAGGTGACTGTACACACCTAGGGCAAATAGGAAAAAAAAAAAAAAGATCACAACTGCATTTGGTAGATATTGAGTTGTCAGAAAAGTCTGACTCATTTCTGCAGCAGATGGTGTTAGTTCAATTTTGGAAGTACTGGAGTCATTCTCATCTATGTTATTGAAAAGCTGACAGTTACAGTTTCATTCTAAAAAAATAAAATGAGTAGGGACCAGCAGTTGGTGTAATGGCTATGTCGCCACGCCACAATCCCTTCTCCTCCACTCTCCTTTCGGGATCCTGGGCACGCACGAACACATGCCTGGTATGAGTTTAAGTCACCAGGTGTGGTACTCGAACTGTGGTCGACTACATGGGAGGAGGGGGGGAAGGGGGTGTGGCCATGCCGCAGTCTCTCCTCCATTCTCCTCTCAGGATTTTAGGCACACACACACACATGCACCTGGCATGAGTTTCAAGTCTCAGGTCTGGGACTTGAACTGAGGTCGGCCATGCAGGAGTTCAGTGACATAACCATTATGCCATTTTGCTGGTCCCTCTCCATTGTGTTATTTAATGTGTTCTTTTAGTTCATAAAGTTGTTTTAAAATCCCTATATATGGGGGCCAGCAAGTAGTGTAGTGGTTAAGGCACTGGACTCCCACATGACTGAATGCAGTTCGAGTCCCAGACCCAGCAGCTAGAAAATCATGCCAGGCACACATGTATGTGTGCCCAAAATCCTGAGAGGAGAATGGAGGAGAAGGGATTGCAGTGCTCCTATCACCCCTGGAGGAGAGAGAGGCATGATTTCTTATTTTCTCTTTTTCTGTCTCTCCAGGATGTGCATGTATGCTATAGCAAAAATCTCACTCTCATAAAAAAATAAATAAATAAATAAATTTCTCACTCTCATAAATAAATAAATAAATAAATAAATAAATAAATAAAAAAAACCCAACTACATACTTGTTAGGTGCTTACAATCCACCTAGCCCACAAGGATGGCAACCTGGTTTTGTTGTGATTATGAAGTGTCTTAGAGAGCAAAGAACACAAAGTGCTGCTCAGTAAGTGTTTTTCTTCATCTTTATTGGGTATTTCTTCTTCGATATAGAAGGTGACACTTAAGGCCAACTCAACTACAGTCACTCTTTTGTATAATTAGTGTCCACATCTTATACCATCTTACACTGGTCACTGAGAGCATTTTTGATGTGGTTTGAAGTTCTGCAGTTTATTCACTGATACCTCATTGTTTACAAGCAATGGCATTTCAGTCCAGATGACACCATTTCACTAATTTTAGTGAATAAATCACCCTTTCAAATAATAAATTGGAAAGTATACTGGAGGTAAGTTTATGCCATTTAGCATACGCCTGTGCTTAAAATTAGAATTGAGCTACCCTGAATCTTTTCAAATATTTCTGTAAAATTACATTTTTGCCACGGCAACACCTTTCCTGTCACTGTATTAATGAGTTACGGTATACGTAAAGTTTCATGTGTTGAAATTTAAGCCATGAAACCTTTCTTCAACTCATATCTGCTGCTGTCCTTTCTTTTGTCTTAGCTGGAAATATGATTCTACTTTGCAAAAGTTTTAGGTTCACAATTGACAAACTAAAATAGCGTAGGACTTGAAAGCAGAGAAGTAGCAGAAGCAATAGCAGATACTAGAAGCTGTGTGGGGCTGCTCGGGAGAAATTGATGAACAGACCCAAGAAGGCATATAAAGAAGAGAAGTAGGTTATGGGACTGCGTAACAGTCGAGTAAAAACTGCCGTTGGCAATTCAATATGTGCTTCCCACAAAGCCAGGAGAATGAATGTCAAATGTGCACAATATAACAAAATGTGAAAGGTTGAAGATAATAAAAATGTTTGTATCTTTGATTATATTATTAATACTGTGTATTAAAAAAAACTATACTGTACCCACAAAGATGTACAAAGACTATATGTAAACCAGAAATTATCAAAAAATGAAATGCAGTGTGAGAATAAATTTTTTTTAAAAAAGGGAAAAGGGAGGATCAGCAGGTGACATAGAAGTTCAAACACTGGATCCTACACGGTTGACTACACAGTTCAAATACAAGCCCTGGTGGCTTAAAAATAAGGCTGGGTGTGTGTATGTGCGTTTCCAAAATCGAGAGGAGAATGGAGGAGAAGGGATTGCAGTGCGGTCATCCACTTAGGGCAGGGCGTGATTTCTCACTTTCTCTCTCTCTCATGAGCATACATGTCCTATAGCATAAATAAATAAATAGAATCAGACCCCATAGTGGAGGGGTCTAAATGACAAGCTTTAATTCTTTCCAGTAGTGATTAACTATCAAAAACATTATAACTTGACAACTGTAATTGTAGGGCTCAAAATTCACAAGTTTTATTATCCCTCATACCGTTGTCTACAACCTTCCTTCAGCTCCAAGAAATACACAGATTAGTGATTCAGTTTCTTTTTTTTGTTGTTAGCAGAGGTGATATTTAATAACAGAGTGAGTTGGCCACATCTATTTTCTAAATAATCACATTTGACACTATGCACACTTTTTGACTAACAAGATGAACTTTTCGCACATATTTATTTCTTTAGGGAGTAATTACATGTGCCCAAATGGCTGGGTGTTGAACAAAGGGCAATGTTACTGGTTTTCAACTTCTTCTAAAACTTGGAAGGAGAGTCATCACATTGCACAAAGCTACAGGCACAATTGCTGGTAATTCTAAACTTGGATGAGCTGGTAAGAAATTTTCTCATCTGCTCAATTCAGTGTATAAATATTCAATTCTAACTCCATCTTTGGGTCTTCATTTCCCTTGAAGCCTGCTATGCTATGTAAAACTTGTACTAAGTAAATTAAATTTGTATCAAATAGAATTTTTTCATGTTTATATCTTAATTTAATACTCAAGCTCAACAGAAAAACTCTTGAGAGTAGAGGAAAAAATTTGCCTTCTCCCAGAGAACAAATACTCATAGAAAACTATTACTAACATAACTTGCTCCTAATTAAAAAGCAATCAGAGTAGAAAAAAACCCCTACATTTACAGAAATACTTCTGCATGATGGTTAGATCTATCATATATTAGAATTAGAAAGACAAAGGGTTTGCTCCTGGCTCTGGAATTTACGATTCGTGAGAAGCAACTTAACTGACTCTGTCTGGTCTATCTTTGTCTGTAAATGGATATCTTCATTACATCTGCTTTGACACGCTTGTGAGAATTAAATATAAACAATAGAATATAGTGTATTTACCAACTCTGTACACAGTATTATTAGTGACAAAAAAATAGCCATTGCTGTTTTGTATTTTGCCAGAGAGCTCTGTGCTCACAAAGAGAGACAGAGAAAGAAATCATCCCCATGGAGGAAGATCACACCCCAATCCCTTATTCTTTTTTTTTTTTTTTTTTTGAGAGGTTTTCACTATAGGGCGCGTGTGCTCGCCAGACAGACGGAAAGAGACATAGACACAGAAAGCAAGAAATCACCCCCCAGGGGGGATGGTCACGCCACAATCCCTTCTCCTCCATTCTCCTCTCGGGATCTTGGGCACGCACGCACACGCACCCGGCATGCGTTTTAAGCCACCAGGTCCGGGATGCGAACTGCGGTCGACTACGTGGGAGTCCAGCGACATAGCCATTACGCTAACTGCTGGTTCCCAATCCCTTATTCTTTATTTCCCCTCCTTTAGGAATTTTGGTCATGCCTGCATATGTACCCAATGTGTTTCTCAACTTTCTGAGTCTAAGACTTGAATCACATATTTGGCCATGTGGGATCCAGCTGCCTTAACCTCTAGGCAAGTGGCTGACCCTCCATTGCTGTTTATATCTGTGGTCCTCTGAGAATTTAAGATTATTTTACACAGCATCAAGAACTGTTAAGTCATGGACATGATTCTATTCTGATTTGATACAAATTTTGAGAGAGGCAAAGAATACGGTAAAAACCTGTTGAATTGACAGAAACCTTACTCCAGAGCTGAGAGATCCATGATTAAACTTGCCATATAAATGTTTGGACCTGTCAGATGCGAAGAGCCGTAGACATTTAGCGAGTTTTCTCCCGTTCTGGGGGCTGTCTCTTCATTCTATTATTGTTGCCCTTGCTTTGCAGAAGCTTCTTAGCTTAGTGTAGTCCCATTGGTCTATTTATGGAACTATTTCCTGTGCTTTAAAGCTCTTAATTAAGAAATCTTTACTTACTCCATTTTCTTCAAGTGTTTCCCATGTGTTGTCCACATATTGCATACTTTAGAGACGTACATCAATTAAATATGAATAAGAAACCATAAAATTTTTAAAAAGTAGTTTCCCAAACTTGTAATGTTTGGGATGCACATTTCAGCATGCACTTTTCTGTCATAGATTTTGTGAATTTTATCTTTATAATTTTTTTAAAAATTAGCTAAAAGTGATATGGTGGAGAAGTTATCAAATGAAAAAACAAGTTAATGTGTTAAGTCACTCACCTACTATTGTAATGATGACTACAGCTAGTAACCAAATAAAAAACTTCCACGTTTTTGGATTCCTGAGAAGACCTACAAATGAAATGAACACTTGTTAAATTCAGAAGAAACCCTGACAGGGTATGTATAAGTCATATATTTCTCTTTTATAGTGATCAGTAAAGAAATTAACATTTAAAATATCCATATCCTAGAGTATAAAAAATACAAAGGCATTATAAAGTGCAAGTAAAACACGTTAAATAATTGCTATTGCTGTCCAGATGGGGAGAATGGATGGGCAGATCATTTAGAACTGGGGAAACAGAGAAGAAAGGCCAAGTTACTTGAAAGGTGGGAAGAAGACTGAAGTGTGGAATGGTGGGATGGAAATCCTGCAGATCGTCACAAGGGCTATGATAATAACAAACGTCCATAATGGATACTCGCCTTTTGATTTTTGTTTTCAAGATTAGGGAAAAGTAAAGTACAAGGAAAAGGAAAAGATAAAAACCAATGCACAAATTTGGGACACTTAAAAGAAAAATTTAAGATTTAATATGATGCTCTAGTAATGAAGACAATATGCTTTGAGAGGGAAGATGGGCATATAGTCAATGGAACAAGACAGAGTCCAGAAATGGAAACACACAGACAGTAATATTGGAGAAGGGTGAGAACACAATGTAATGGATGATGCCAAGTTTTTCAACAAGTGGTATTGAAATAATTAGGGAAAAAAACAACTTTAGCCATTTCACACATCAGCTTACAAAATTTGAGATGTAATATAGCCTTAAACATAAAAATCTAAAACTTGAATTTTTTTGGGGGGGGGAGAGGTTTTCGCTATAGGGCGCGTGTGCTCGCCAGACAGAGAGAGACATAGAGACAGAAAGCGAGAAATCACCCCCCAGGGGGGATGGTCACGCTGCAATCCCTTCTCCTCTATTCTCCTCTCGGGATCTTGGGCACACCCGCACACGCGCCTGGCGTGAGTTTTAAGCCACCGGGTCCGGGACGCGAACCGCAGTCGACTACGTGGGAGTCCAGCGACATAGCCATTACGCTAACTGCTGGTTCCCAAAAAAAAAAACTTGAAATTTTTTAGAAAGCTCAGTATAAGTTGCTCACAATTATGCGGATAAGCAAAGATTTCTTAGAAAGGACAAAGAAGAAAAGAATTCTGGTGAAGAATTCAATATTGAAACCTATGGAAGAACTAGCACTAGGAAAAGGCAACTTTTCTAAGGCTGTAATCACAAATCCTAGGATTTGGGGGAGAAAAAGTATAGGGATGAATAGAATGGGCTCTTGACCAAACTGCCAGTGTATGTCTTAAAAATAAATCCTTCAAAATTATAAACTTAAATGTTCCAAATATCAAAGCTTCAAAATACATGAAGCAAACATTGAGAAAATTTGAGGAAATGAAGAGTTTCACAATAATTGTTGGAAACTTTGTTACCCCACTTTCAGTAATGAGCAGAACCACCAGAGAGGGGTTCAGTCACATAGCCAGCAATGAACATCGTGCCTCTGTTGAACCTCACAGATACACAGCGCACACGGCACCCCACCACAGCAATCTGCAGGTTTTTCTCAGCTGTGTGGGAAAGCAACTTCACCAATAAGCTTTAACATTTGCTTTCTATTCTGGACAAAGCTGCTTTAAGCAACTTATCTTTTTTGGGGTAGAAGAGCACTTAAAAATATATTTTTTGAAATACAATGCATATATCAGAGGATTTACTCCAAATACCTTCTTACACATAAGACTATGCCCTCTTCTGCTCTCATTCACCTTCCACAGCTTTACAGAAATTGTGGAAGTCCTCCCATCTCACTGGAGTAGACTTCCACTATCAGGAGTCAATATTTTTAGTTTGTCTTCTAGTTTTTCCATTCCTTTCTTCTCAGTCATTCAATAAAACTTACATGGCTGGCGTTTGCAGATGCCGTTTCTACCGTCATGTAGCTCTCCAGCGATCGTGGCAAATGTGGGAATGGATTCAGGTCAATCAGCGAGGACTAGAACGTTACTTACGTGCATAGCACACAGAAAGTACTGAGCCAGCATCTACGTGGAATAGGAAAATGAGCCAATCAAAGGAAACTCTTCCTGTACAAATAGAAACTGTCACTGTCAGTGCTGATTTTAGATTGAAGATAGGAGCGGACAGATTTGAGAGTGCAGAAAGTAGACAATTGTCTTATTCATGACAAGAGGAACATGAACCAGTTGAGTAAACACCACCACATCTCAATGTGGAGCATTTTAATTTGCCTCCCAAATGTTTTTGTTTCCTTTGTTGTCCCTTTCCTTCCTGACCCTGGCCTCTACGAATTTCCTTTATGTCAATAGAGTTTTTCCTTTCCAAAAATTGTTTGTACTGGGAATGGAATTCCTATTGATGCGGGTAATTGGGGTGCAGGGACCCACCCAATACAGAAAGAACAATAAACCCGATACTTTGTCTCACACTCACAAAGAATTAAAGGAAGGGATAGTAAAGTGGAGTTTATCGAAAAGGGAAAGAACAGAGCTCCTAAGCAGAGCGTGGGTCCCAGAAAAAGGGCTGCTAATGAAAAACTGCAGCGAGAGGCTATTAGCTGGGTCCGAGGGGCTTTGTTCAGGCTTCTCGTTTTTACTTAGGTTTGTGCCGTCTCTGAGAAGCTGACCTTACATGCGAGGAGAGAAGCAGCTTACAGAAAAACTGATTCTCACATTGAGGAGAAATGCCAGCTCGTTCACCACCTGAGTGCTTGCAGGGAGTGAGTCCTCTCTAGGGACTGGTGCCGTGGGATGAGGGAGTGGCACACCATTGTGTAAAATCCTAGGTTCTTCAGGTCCAGATTGCTAAGATTAGAGACCTGTCCTGAGACGCAGGATGAAAAACCACAAAGACATGTAAAATAGGAAAAGAGACATTTTAATAGAAAAGTCAAGATTTGCTATAGAAAAGAAACACACCCTCATGGGCAGCTTCCAGAGGACAACTGCACTGGGCATAGGGCTAGGCGTTCCTTTTATTTGGAGATTTGCAGATGGGTATTTAGCAGGGGAAAGTCTGTCATAATATTGGGTTTCTTCGTTTGCCTTCAAGTTGTTTTCCTGCACTTGCACATTTCTCTCACCGGTGAGGTGTTTAATGACCTAATCAGCATGCCCAGTGTGGACTCTGATGGCGTGAGCATCCCTGTACGGATGAAGTGCCCAGTTAGGTTACTGCTCCAGTGGGAGTCAGGACGTTTACATTCCATCCTGGTGGTAAATTTCTGTGTGTATATTTGGGAGGGCAGGAGGGAAGATAACATTCCCAGGTTCAAGAGCTGGGTGGGAGGAAGGAGTCCTCCAGGTGGGTCTGACTGTAACTCCTGCAAGTCGTGAGTGATGTGACGGGTGTCTTCTGCTATTATCTTAGGGCTGCCTGCTCATCTCTAGCCAACTGCCTACCACAATCTCGTCAGCAGCTTTGAAAATTGTTTTTGAGATGTCAGGGAGGTCTCCTTATCCTGAAAGAGTTAATTATTACTCAAGATCTTTTGCTCATTTGCTTAGCAAGCATTTTCTCCAGCATGTTGTAAGCAGCTCTGTATAAGCAGTTCTCTGTGTGAGCAAGCAGTGAGAGCTAATACTTGATTTCTAGTGAAAGTAGTGAATGATTTTTATTGAAAGCTTGACCAGGGTGGGACCAGCAGTTGGAGTAACGGCTATGTCGCTGGACCCCCATGTAGTCAACCGTGGTTCGAGTCCCAGACCTGGTGGCCTAAACTCATGCCAAGCATATGTGCATGCATACTCAAGATCCTGAGAGAAGAATGGAGGAGAGTGAATTGCAGCATGGCCATTCCCCACGGGTGTGTGTGTGTGTGTGTGTGTGTGTGTGTGTGTATGATTCCTCACTTTCTGTCTCTCTGTCTCTCTCTGTTTTTCTGGTGAGTGCACGTGCTCTATAGCAGGGACCTCTAAAAAAAAAATAGCTTGACCAGGGTGAGTCTCTCTTACCAAGTGACTCTATCTTAATATGTGTGTGTATCCATTTCCTATCATAGTGACACTTCCTTGGGACCTCTGCCCTATTTGTGAACTAACTGGGTGTAATTCCTGCCTCACTGGAGTATGTGGCTTATTCTGGTTGGAATATCTTTGCATTTCATTTACCTCCTTGTGCATGTGAGTAATTCATTCCTTTGTACTGTATTTCTAAATAATATTCTCATTATATGTTTATGCTTTAAATCATCCATCTAATCACAAGTTGATGGTCTCTTTTATTTCTAGTGTTTGACTATAGAGGAAATGAAACTGCTATGCATATTTCATAACAGGACTCTTTGTGGAAGCATGTTTCCTCGTGGATAAATGCCCAGTAGTGGGGTTTCTGCATCATGCGTGTACAGTATTGTCGGCGTCCGCCCCCAGGCTTAGCGCTATTATGGAAGAAGCAGAAAAGATGAGACAAAAAGATAGAGTGGAAACGGACACAGGCAGCCTTAGCCTAAGTAGCCCAAGCAACTTGTGCCGCCCAGACAAACTGGACGTCTTTATTTATAGTACAAGAAGACATTACACATGTGTGTTTCATGAT